CATGGGATACGAAAAATAGTCCTGACAATATAATTTTGCGTGGTTTGTAGTATTTTTAAAGTACTGTGTGTATGCGGCTTCTCAAATACTTATCCCGTAAGTTAGTAGAGACCCCACAAACGAGTTATATATTGAGAGAAGACTGTTTCTGCTTAAAATATTCCTAAGAATGAATAATTCTCCTTAATTTCGATGCCAAAAGCTCGGCATGACTCTGCCATTTTAAATTACTGTCAACAATGATTCCTAAGTATCTAATAACTTAAACTCTTTCGACAGTGTCAGCACTATCATTTATAATTAATGTTCGGTGCTGTAATGGCATGCCTGCTTTGGTTGGAGAGAACGTTACATACTTAGTTTTAGAGACATTAAGTTTAAGTAAATTGTCATCCAACCAGCATTTGACTTTATTTAATGACAACTCGGTATTCCGTATTGCGTCATCCCATGAATGACCAGTGCAAACTAAAACAGTATCGTCTGCATATGATATCATCTTATAGTTGAAATTACATCGAAGTAGTTCATTTATGTATATAAGGAACAGTGTTGGTCCCAAAACCGTCCACTGAGGCACACCTATTTTGATCTTTTGAATGTTGCTTAAATCTGACCCTACCTTAACTTGCTGTAATCGATCAGCCAAATAGTTCTCAAATAAGTTCAGAACTCTACTACGCACTTCAACACTTTCTAGTTTATTTAATAAAATTGTATGAGATACTGAATCGAAAGCCTTTTGAAGATCTAGGAAAACTGCAACAGTCTTATTTCCATCTTGAAAATTTTCAAGCACTTGTCCTGTAAGTTCTTGTAGAGATTGCTCTGTATTGCAGTTTTTGCGGAACCCAAATTGACAGTTCGATATTATGTCATATTTCTCAAGAAAAGAGTCTATGCTTTCTTTAAATTGGAGAGGAATTGCTGAGGATTTGAAACAGAGGTTGATAATGTGAGTTATAGGGTGACTGATATACTTCATGATCATCTTGATAGTTTTAGTGTGTAAGCCATCTTTTCCGGGTGCGCTGAAGTTAGAAACATAGAGTGAGCAATGTTGACTACATGAGGATCTGATGTATCAAGAATTGAGTTTCGATCAATCTGACTTGTTATTTGCTCACCTATATCAACAAAATATTTATTAAAAACATAGGCTATACCAGTGGGAGCGTCCAGCTGCTGATTATTGTGATTAATTGATTTTACGTCATTTTTTTTAATTTTGCCAGCATTAGTTACCTCATTAATAACATCCCAGCTCTTCCTATAGTTATTACCAGCTAAAATGAGTTTTTGTGTAAAATATTGATTTTTAGAGATCTTACTAAGATTAGTTACTCTGTTTCTGTAGGAGATATAGGACTGTCTCAATATCAAATTATCATTATCTTTCGTCAAACTCTGTTTCAACTCATCCCTCTTCTTGATCGAAGTAAGAATACCGTCAGTCATCCACGGCTTGCGTTTTCTGGTCTTACTATTTATTTTTAAATAATAAGTTGAATGATCTATGCCGTTATATAATTCATTATAGAAGTTATCAGTTGCTTTTTGGACATCACTCTCTGAAAAAACACTGTCCCAAGTCACCACTTGTAAATAATCTGTCAACTTTTTCTCATCAAGTTTCTTAAATTCATAGCTGTTTCTATTAATGATACAATTACTTCCTTTCAAATACCCAAAATTGAACAAAACAGGATAGTGATCGGTCATACAATTTTCCAAAAGTATTGGTTTACACTCAATTGCTGTTTCAGAGACCTTAAATCTGTTTGCCTTCAAAAATATGTGGTCGATAATCGTAGATGAGTTAGAATCTACCCTAGTAGGTGTATTAATCTGAGATATGTACCCATTCTGTTGCAACATATTCACGTATCTTAAATTACTGTATTCATGTTCTCTCAATAAGTCTGGTTTCAATTTTGAACTATCAGAGAACCGAGCAACTGTAATGGATGAGTGAACTCTCCTGTTTGTTACCTGAATTTAATCAAATATTTTGATTTCTTTTTTGGAAATTTTTAGAAAAATAGAATTTGATGCTAATAGACAAGTAGAAAAAAGACCGACGACGCTGTCAATGGTGACAGTCATGGCAGGCGACGCTATCGGTAATAACAGTGGTGGCAGTCATGAAATCCAATACAAAAAAACGTTGCCGAATTTTCTCCCTTGCATATTGCTAGGACTAGATGATCCCACATCCAACAAAGGGGTTGAATGGCGGGGGAGGGGAAGTAATAGTTGAAGAACGAAAGAGGAGAAAGGGTGGGTAAAGCAGCATCATGATTTTGGGAGCTCGTAAGTCGCGTTTAGCGGCCACCTTGAGTCCCGGGGCCCGACACACAAATGCAATGTGACCTCTTCTCTATTTTAAGTTTTTTAAGGGTACGCCGTTTAATATGTCTGTCACCAGGTTATGCGCTACATATTCAGGTTTTTAAAAGACCGCACCTGCCTGTCTGTTTTCATCTGTAGCGTGTCCGGGACACGATCTATACCCTATTGGTGATTGCTAACAAGTACGAAACGAAATCGTATTAAGATCACAGTGCCGAAAAGCAAACAGATCCTATCAGCCTAGAAACCATGCTGGCGGAAGAAGTCCGCTTTATCTTCGAGCGATCTTGCTTCTCCTGGTATGTATAGTTTGGCCAAAGAGTAGTTAGAACAAGAGAAACACGTCGTGAAATGTCTTCATAATCCGCCGGCCTGTTCCAGTGACATTGGGTATACTTGCTTTAGTGATGTACAGCAATGCACCGACAAACCAAGTGCCGCTTGCTCACAGACGGCTCGTCGTCTCAACTGGAAGCGCCCTTAGTTTGACGTCTGGCTCATAGATTGCTAGGCATCTCAGCAATGATGCTTGACTTAATGAAAATATTTAGAAAATGGTACGCTTATGAGATTGAAGTACAGTTCTTTTAGCGGTTTGTGGAGGTTAGAATTATGTGTGTTACGAAATAAGTAAACAGATTATTATAAATGTACTAGTTTTGGAGCTAAGCCTCCCTAGGTTAAAAGCTCCATAATGCGGCTGTTACTTGTTCTTGCACACACACACACACATGAATTGTGTGTACGTGAATTGCTTTCACACAACTTTTGAAAAAATGATCACTGTTGACATTTTACTTGTATATTGAGGTGTTGCTATGCTTTATATCTGAGAATAACAACAGGTAAACTCCAACTGCAAGCCCATAAGAAGCATTATTTTCATACCTTGTGAGCTGACACAAGCAAACGTCCTTGCATAGAGGACTCTTGAACATGTGTGAGTGAGGGAGATGGATGTATGAAACATGTTACTGCAGTTCTTACAATGTCCGCCAAAAATCGTGAAAAAACCCATAACAGCTGTCTTATCATTGCATATCCCCTAGATTCAGTTTCCAAAATATTATGTGAACTATTAGACAATATTATACTTGTAAAAAACGTACACACGGACTAAAAACTATATTTCGTAGTCTGCGAATGGATAATAAATATTCTGTTTATTACTCATGCAATTGCATTGCTACTTTGTTTCATCAAATAATTTCTGGCTATTTTCAAAATTCTTTTATGCGCCAAGAGTATTGAAATTTCTCTAGGATGACCTGAGAGACGTGGAGTTTGTCTGCCGTTATCTAGAAAAACAGACATTGTATCATCTAAGCACAATTTTTTCTGTGATGAGGAAATGATGTTTATCTACCAGTCTGTACCTGTTATATGTACAATAACCACTACATGAAGGGCGCAATGCGGAGTAAAAGATGCGCGAATATAATTATAGGCAACCCAAGTCTACGTTCCCCGTGTGCCCGACTGTCTTCTAAGCGTAAACATATGTGTGACTGGTATGGAGCATAAAACAACATTTGTTTAGCTTAATTTTTGGCCCAATGTCTTAATCGATAAAAAAATCTGGAAATACCTGAATTGTTTAAGAAAAAATCGTGGAAAATGGTTTTCGGTATTTCGGTAAATAAGGTCCTATTTCGGTAGAAATACCGAAAAATCGGTAGGTTCGGCAACACTGAGAACAGCACGAGCTTAGATACAGTCTGCTGCTTTGTAGCTGTCATGTTTTCAGTCCCGTGCCTGTCTCTCTGTATAACTACTCCTTGGTTTGGCACTGGCTGACAAACCCGAACAACATGATCACCGTTTGGTCAAAGCGTACCTCCTGCATGAAAGTTGTTGTCAGCAATTTAACCGTACGCTGCTGATGTAGCCTCGGTAGTATTACCTCTCAACTTAATTTCCTTTCAGGCAAATACATAATTAATAACCTTACTTCACCCATTAACAGTTATGCTGTGCTGTTTATATCGCTGAAAGTCATTTCAACTCATTTCACCATCTGGAATTGGAATTATCCAGGATTATGAGCTTAATTCCGGTGGTACGGAAATCGATTGGCAGTCCTACACGTGAACATCGGCGTTGTCAACTGAGGGACTCGAATTTGAGGAAAACCTCTTTTGTATAAATGGAGTCGAGAACATGTTCATAGCTGAAAAACAATATCTGACGCCTTCAAGACGGAAAGTTATCTTAGGGCCAACAACGCTCAAGATACAAAAGACACCTGGAGCAGACGATGTAACTGATAAGATGATAAGATACGCCGACCAAAGCTCTTGGTATGAGAATAATCAACGTACTACTAGGGCACAAAACAATGCTTTCTGCCATGATCGCTGACATTATCAATATTCCAAAGAAGGAGGGCTCAATATTATATTATGAAAACTAAGCTTGTTTTGAACACGCCTTTATTAACTTGGCCTGTATGTATGTAATGGAATCTGTGAGCATAATTTTCACCAACTTCCAGAAGTTTGATTAATTTGAAACTTCGCACACGTATCAAGAACCGATGACAATTCAATAATGTGCTAACAGTTTTCCATTATTCTTATAAGTAAAATTCTGTAAAAAGCAAATATGTTAATAAAAAGCCACGGATTTTACGAATAGTGAAACTACAAGCGTCTGTACCTCAGTGGCACAGCACTGGACTTGTAAGCCAGAAGTCGTGAGTTCAATCCTTACAGGAGGCAGATTGTGCTATATCTTTTTTTTGAATTTTCTTAACACGCTTTTATTAGTTTGGCTTGTATGAATGTGTGTATAGATGTAACGGAATCTTTGAGCCTAATTTTCACCAATTTTCAGAAGTTTGATTAATTTGAAACTTCGCACGCGTATCAAGGACCGATCACAATGCAATAATTTGATAACAGTTTTCCATTATCATATTCCATTATATAATAATAATAATAATAATAATATTTATTCACTCAATGTACAAAGATAACAAACAATATGAGTAAATAAATATAAAATCGAAACAGGCCCAATAGAAGGCATCGCCTGTACATGGACCAATAATTTAAGTTGAAACTGTAGGATGCAAATGACAAAAAAGGACAAGAATTAGCTACAGTAGATTATGTATTCAGTTGATGTTCGTATTTATGAGTTTATGAATTTCAGTCCTAGATATAGAATGTAGCCACTTTTTTAAATTTCTTTTGAAACAATTTCCGAAACGTAAATCTTTTAAGTCTCTAGGTATAATTTCATAAAATTTAGGCGCTAAATAGAGATATGATCGCTGCATTATAGATTTATGCGGTTGAGGAACTACTGTGCCACGAATTTTGTACCTGGTATAATGATTGTTTAATTTTTTGGTCGGTGTTTACAATTTTATGGTAGTGAGTGATACTGTGTAAGAAATAAAGCTGTCTTATATCATACATTCGAACATCTGCGTATAATTTTTCAGTGGGATAAAGTTTCGGTTTTTTAAATATCATTTTTAGAATACTTTTTTGAAAAACATCTAAATTATAGATATGTGAGGAACATGCAGCTCCCCATGCTAATATACCATATGTGAGATGAGGCTCAATCAGTGCATGGTATAATGTTCGAAGATATTTTTCTGTCAATATATTCCCAAGGTATTTAATTTTGTAGGATACACATCTAACTTTCTTTAAAATATAATTGACATGGATGTCCCATCGTAAGTGAGGATCCAAGACCACTCCAAGGTATTTTATGTTGGGCACTCTGTCAATTTGCATTTTTTGATCATTGATATTGAAGGAGAAATTTGTGTAATTTGGCAGATGTCTAGCATAAGATCCAAATGGTAAAAAATGTGTTTTAGAGTAGTTAATGCTTAATTTTCTACTGTTAAACCACCGAATAATTTTGATAAAATCATTTTCAATTACATTTTTTAGATCAGACCAGTCAGTGCCTTCATACAATATTGCAGTATCATAATACATTTCAATACCACATGTCAACAAAAAACTAACTGATTAATCCAACTAAAAAATGAAAAATTAATAATATATAGTTCAAAATACTAAAAAACACGCTGTTATAGCTAACCGAAGTAGATAGTATAAAATAATGTTTAATAACAATGAGTTTATATTAAAGTAGTAGATGGTCGAACAATCAATCTTAATTAATGACCTCAAAATAAAATTATAATAAAATGTAAGTTATTAACGGAGTAATTCAATCCAGAGTGAAAAGCGTACTACATTTTCATAACCCTCCTCCCATAGATAGTTGCCAATAGAATGATTGTAACATTTAATATATCAAGCATCCCACGCTTTTTACCCTGAATTGAGCTATTCTTTTAATAACTTAAATTTTATTATAACTTTATTTTGACGTCATTAATTATTAGTGACTGTCCGACCATCTACTACTGTAATATAAACTCTTTGTGATTAAAAACGTTATTTTATACTTTTTAGTTTGGTTAGCTGTAAAAGCGTGTTTTTTATTTTTAGTTTTTTCAACCATTATTTATTTTTTTCGTCAATGCGGTCCCACAGAGCAGGTCAAGTACGGATCGTTATCCACTCATGAAGATGATTCAGTAGCTCATATTATCTCCAGGTGGATCGAAACAGGGTCATTTAAGAAAGTCTTAATATTTCTGGAGCATAAAGTTACAAAAAATGCATCAAGTAGGTTGACTCTACACCTCGCACGCAAAGCTGGGAACTGCACTTCAATCACCTCATAAACGTACCAGTTTATAAACATTTTCTGCAAGTCTAGCAACATTGCTTCGGTAGATGCCGAGCAATGTATGAACCAAACGCCAAGCTAATGACGCTTCCAATTGAACGTCTCTTGATTTGCCGGTTCACTGCTGTATATCACTAAAGCAAGTTAAACCCAATGTCACTGGAACCGACCAGCGGATTATGAAGACATTTCAGGAAGTGTCTTTTCTTGTTAAAACTACCCTTTGGTTAAACTATGCATACCAGGAGATGCAAGGCCGCTTGCAGGGAACGCTTTAATATTTGGACTTCTTTCCGCCAGCACGGTTTATAGGCTGTAGCATCTGTTTGCTTTTCGCCTCTGTGACCTTAATAGGATTTCGTTTCATGCTTGGTAGGAATCGTCAATACGATATAGATCTAGTTCGTAAAGGATTACGTTCGGCCCAGCTTCAGTGCCTTCGAATTAGAAACTAAAAACATGTATAGCCAAAAAAACTAAATGGGTCAAGTCAGCCAAAGAGGCCTATATAAAATGAGTACAATAATCAATCAATAATCAATAACCTTTATTTCCATACAGACAATGTATAATTGTATTGGAATTGTCAAAAATGAGTACAATAATCAATCAGTAATCAATAACCTTTATTTCCACACAGACAATGTATAACTGTATTGGAATTGTCAATTTTTTGTTCGCTACAAACCTACAACTAATCTCAAATTGCAATGTTCAAAAATTCATCAACACGATAAAAGCACTTGTTTATCAAAAATTGCTTCAACTGGAACTTGAAGTCGTTACTTCATAGCCTCATCCATTCGATAATGCTAACGCTTGTTTGTTCCCTGGCCCAAGAATCGACCACCTATCGACGATGCTGCACTGCTAGGTGCATAAAATTAGTTGGGCCTAATGTGTATAAATATACTACTGCGAAGGAAATGAGATATACCTTCCCCTACAGCCCTAGACTTCCGATTTTCAACTCCCACAATTTTTCTTCTGAAAATTATCAGGAGGTTCTATACAACGGGCGATTTTTTAAAAGGTATAAGATTTGATTTTCAAAAAAAACACAAAAAATTTGAAAAAACGATTTAATCTTTAATTGAGTCGATAGAACGGTCGATATAATTTAATGTTTTAAGATTATACAACATATCGGCCGGTATCTCACGAATAAATGCTTCAATATTGGCTTCCAGTGCATCAATCGTTGCTGGTTTATCCCTGTAGACATTAGCCTTAACATGGCCCCACAAGAAATAGTCCAACGGCGTTAAATCACATGATCTAGGCGGCCAATTGACGGGCCCCAAACGTGAGATAAACTGTTCACCGAAGTCGCCTCTCAATAGGGCCATTGTTTCGTGTGCAGTGTGGCATGTGGCACCGTCTTGTTGAAACCACATGTCAGCCAATTCCAGCTCTTCCATTGCGGGCAAAAAAAGTTTGTTATCATCGCACGGTAGCGCTCGCCATTCACAGTTACGTTCCGGCCATTGTCGTCTTCGAAGAAGTACGACCCGATGAAGCCACCGGCCCATAATCCACACCAAACAGTGATTTTTTCGGGATGCATTGGTAGCTCTTGCAATGCTTCTGGCTGGTCTTCACTCCAGATGCGGCAATTTTGCTTCTTAAGGTACCCATTCAACCAGAAATGAGCTTCGTCGCTGAACACAATTTTTCGATAAAAATGTGGATCTTCCTCCAACTTTGCCAGCGCCCATTCACCAACTTGGAAACGTTGTGGGAGGTCGTGTGGCTTCAAGTCTTGCACCAGCTATATCTTATAAGGTTTTACACCCAAGTCCTGTCGCAAAATTTTTCACGTAGTGGAGTAACAGGAGGCCCAATTGCTGCGAACGGCGGCGAATCGACATTTCACGGTCATCACTAACACTGGCGGATACAGCCGCAATATTTTCTTCAGTCCTCACTCTACATCTGCGTGTTGGTGGTTTAATGTGCAATAATGTAAACTGGGTTCGAAATTTAGTCACAAGCTTCCGAATAGCTCCCTCAGTAGGCCGACCAAATTGCCCATAAATTGGAAGCAGTGCTCGATGCACTCTCTTAACCGAGCATGAATTTTGATAGTAAAATTCAATAATTTGCAAGTGTTGTTCGTTCGTAAGTCAATTCATGGTTAAATTATAGACCAAACTGAACAAGTTTGACAATGACACAAGACACGATTCAGGCGTCATCTGTCAAAAACAGTGTTGCCAAAAAGATACTAGCAAAAAAATCACTCATTATATATAGATCGTGAATAACGTGGTTTGAGCAGTTTTTACTCTTTCTTGTTTTTGCCCCTAGCTGCCACTGAACCGATTTCCAAAAACTACAAAGCCTTTTACTTTTTGGAATAGTAGTAACCTTGTGTGAAAATTTCGTACAAATCGTAGCAGTATTTTCGTTATAGTTATAGGCGGTGCCAGGATTAGCGGACCTACCGACGGAAATTAGTGACATGGTTTTTCGTGATGTATATGCCATATAGCATCCAAAGAACATAGTATCTTATTTTCAAAATTTACGCATCACAATGCTTCCTCGCCAGTAGTCGTGGTAAGTAATAAAATGGAAAGTTACCGAATCACAAGGTTTCAAAGATGTAATTTTTAAATCGAAGGAAAAATACATGTTCGAAGCGGATTGATATACCTCTTCAGTCAAAACATATTTAGAGCATAGCCAATGCAAACAAAATTTTCGTGCCTGACACTACAGCAAAGGCGTAGAAATTTGGACCAGCACAGAAGAAAAAGGCGTTTCTGTAAGCCACTGACTTTTTTGAAACATCTATTGTATAAGGTATTCAATTTTACTCGAATCAGCATTCTTGAAAAATTTTTATCAGACTGCTCTTTTTGCAGAAAAAATAATTTGAATATCTGAAGCAAAATCCATATAAAATAATGTTCGGCTAAGGAATGCACCCCGTTCTTAGAGAATACGAGCGATACTAGAAAAAAGTTCTACTTACCCATGAAAC